CTGGCATAGCCAAGATTTCACAGTGTTCTGGAAGGCCATGAGAGTAGGGGCAGACAGCACCTCAGTTTAGTGTTATGTGCCAGTCGTGTCTGTTCCTGGACTGGGAGGTTCTGCTCACATTCGCTCATGCCCTGGTTACCTCCCGAATAGACTACTGTCATGCACTCTACACGGGGCTGCCCTTGAAGACTATCCAGAAGCTTGAGCTGGTGCAAAATGTAGCTCAGGCAGCTATGTGTGCCCCTAGAATGGCCCACATTACACTTCTGCTCCATGAGCTGCATTGGTTGCCAGTTTGCTTCTGGGTCTAATTCAAAGTGCTGGTTTGGACCTTTAAAGCCCTTTATGGCTTGGGACTGGGTTATCTGAGGGACCCCTTCACCTGATTACATCCCCTCAGGTCCAGCAGAAGAGGCGTGCTATGGGTCCCACTGCGAAAGAGTTTCATCTGGCAGGACTCAGGAGGTGGATCTTTTCTGCCGTGGTACCTGCCCTGTGGAACATCATCCCCGGCCCCCCCCTGAGGTGAGATTGGCCCCATTCTTGACATCCTTCTGGAGGTCCCTTAAAACATGACTGTGTCAGCAGGCCTGGGGATCTCAAGGCAATGGTGAGCTGATGAGATGGCTGCATTGTTTTTAACATGAATTCTGTCCACTATCTTGTTAATAATAATATTGCTGATATTTTTTAACGGTAGTTTTTAACATTTGGATTTTATGATTGTTTTTATTGTAAGCTGCCTAGAGTCACTTTATTGTGAGATGGGTGGCTATATAAATGTGAGAAATAAATAAATAACAGCAAACAAACATACACCACAGGGTTAACAAAAGGTGATCCATGTGGTGCAGTGCTTAGACCTGGTTCAAATCCCCAGTGAGGTGTAAAATTCATTGGCTACTGCTAGGCCAATCACCACTTCTCAGCCTGCTCATGGGTGCTCTCACAAAATGGTTGTCATGAGGAATTTGCCAAGCCACAAAAAGGCTGTAGGGACAGTCATACGACATCTATTTATAGAAAAGAAACTTACTACATTGCTCCCTGCCACCTTTTTTAGCTTTCCAAACATGCTGCACCATGACAAATCGCCTTTGGCATTATTTATTTCCTCAGGGTAGATGGGGGGGGGGGGCTTCTAACCAAAGCCCTGGTCTGCATCTACTCAGTGGATTATTTTCTAAGAAGATAAGTGAAACTGAGAGGAATTGGGGGGAATCACAATAATGGTGGAGGTCTCTTCAGCAGGTCTACTTCCAATACATGTAACTGAAAGAATCTAAAAATTAGAATGATGTGAAGCAAGCAGCAAGGGTTGTAAGCACATGGGGGAATCCACTGCTTGCCTCTGAAGTCAAGAAATCAACAACAAAATTAACAGTGGCTCAATATAAACATCATAAGAGATACAATTGGTATCCTGAACCAATCCAAGATACGATTTTTTAAGAACCTAGGTTTAAAGAAAGCAGGCTTATAGTCAGAAACCAGTTGTCCTGACTGCCAGCTAATCCATTATTCCAGAGTTTACCCTTGTGTATGAGAGAAGACTTTCATTTGGTCCTTACCATGTGCTGACAGAGTTTGGTTATCCAACACGTATATTAGTTCATATTTTCCTCCAATGGTTCCCCCCTGTGAATAATGAGTTCCATATGTTTCCACAAATTTAAAATATTCTCCCTTCTCATAGGTATTGGGCAAGATCTTTATATCTCCCAGGAATGTCTCAGACAAGCGCAAATCGCGCTTTCGCATTTGGAAAATTCCCAGTTGTATATTAGATTTTACATGTAAATAGATGGGATCCTGTAAGCAGAAAACAGTAACGTGAGTTATTCTACCCTCAGGTAGAGAGAGAGAGATCATGGTATTCTTTCACATTGATTACTGGAAGTTTGCTTATATGGGCAGTTCTCAGGTTATGCAAGGAATCTCTAGACAATTCTTGCCCATATCAGACAGCATATGGCGTTCATGTGCAAACATGAGCTGGCATTCTTGCGTCCCTTTCAGTAAAGTCAGATTTCAATACATCAGGGACTTCCTGTTTTTCAAATTTAATTTAGTTTAATAGTCTTTCAGAATCCTTTGCTGAAAACACAGACTGTTAAACTCTTTTCTATAACACTGTAGCTGGTATTTAAGGCACCTATTTTACACCCGAATCACAAAGAAATTATGAGTTATTATAGGTATGTGCACATTACGATATGGAAATTTTATAGAAATCACAATCCTGATTTGCCGATGCATTTCCTAACTTTTAGTCATTTCAGGTGGCCATTCTAATGGTTCTCCTCCACCCAAGACAGTCCAATTCTGATGTCTATGACCATTTTTATTGGAGATGCTGGGCCTTGAGCAGAGGAGGTTTCCCCCCCCCCCCCCCAAAAAAACAGTTTTACCACTGAGTGGTCTAGGAAAGTTTGCAGAATTATGTATTGCTATTCTTAATTGTATTGCTAGTGTACTGTTGTTCCCCCTAAAGAAGCCTATACTAGTTCATAAGATAAAACTTGCAATGAACTAGAATTAATTTTCAGGTAGTTTGGTCCCTAGAGACAGCTGTCATTCTGAAAAAGCCTAGGTGAACAAGCATTTGGAAATCATGATTACTTCCCCCAGGAAAGAAAACCACCACTGAGTGTGGCATATGGTTTTTAGTAGCCCAGTATGGCTGCTGCTGTGCTGGTGTGAGTCAGCAAATGGAAAGAGAAAAAGGGAAGAAGCAGCAGTTCAGTTCTAGCCTTGAAGTACAGGTGTACTGTCTTGGGGCTGATGAGCTGAACTGGCTGCTAAGCAGTTCTGTTTGGAGCAGAAGTAGACAGTATTCTCCTTGGTCCAGCCTTGTATTTAGGAGTTGGGGACTAGAGCTCTGGGGAGGACATCAACCTCCTCAGTTGCTGGGGGACATGCTGCTGGTCTAACCTAAAATTGAAGAACGAGAGAAGGAAAGGAGAGAAATTGAGGGGAGAAATGACGAGAGAAAATTCACACAACCAAGACTGTTGTAGAAGGGAGTGGTTGGAGAGAAAAGTTGGAGAGTAAAGTTGATGTGAGTGTGTGGAGCAATTGTCAGTTCCTGGACAGAGAGAGAGAAGAAAAGTCAACAAGTGGTTTTCTTGGAGGAAGAGAAGCAAAGTCCCAGAGAGATGGTATCTTCACCCAAGACAGGAAGGAGGGAGACAGCTGGCTATGGACAGAGGGTCAGTCTTTGGCAAAGCCCTAGTCTCTGGGGAAGAACTGGGCAGAAGACTCCCAAGAGAGCTCTTCACCCAGTGGAGGAGATGCAGGCAAGGATTGGCTGAGCAGATCCGTGGAAAGGGGATGTGTGGCACTGAGCATGCTCATTCATAAACCCAGCACATTCCTTTCTTTTACTCTTTCTTGATAATCCTAGAAATGGGGGAGGGAGACAGAATGAAGGGAGAGGAAGTTAAGCATATAGGAGGAGAGTTAGAGGGGAGTAGTCTCTGGGAGAAAGTCTTGAGAAGAAACCTGATGCTGAATAGAAGCTGGGATCTTGTAAATACCTATTGTAAATTTCTTGGTTTCTCTGTGCCAATTGCCATCCTTGTAAACCTAAATAAACCTCCTGTTCTAAAAGAACCTGATCATGCTGTGACACTGAGAAGACCCAACTACCGATCACTACATAGTTGGTCCCATAGGTGGGACTATGAACAGGGCTCCCAAAGTGATATTAGTGTGTTGGTTGGATAGTATTGGTGAAGCAATCTAGTTCATTGGCATCATGTTGTGCACCTTACACACAGGAAAATATGCAGATTACTGTAGTCTTCATGTCTCTCTATTCACACAGCATATTTAATTTGGTTATTGAAATAATCCATTGTGGGGGTTTGCACGGTACATTGAACCATAAACTAACCAAACAGGTTGGATTCTCACATTGTGCATAGAAAACCTAATCAAGGTTAATAGTAGTAAGCTTAGCTAGTACAAATCCAGCCAATGGTATTTCAATAACCCAATTCAGCATGGATGCAGCCAATGGCTCAGTGTTCCTTATGGCATGTGAATATTGGTTCCTCTGGAGTAATGTATATTTACCTCTGATTTTTTTTTTTTAACAGCTTACCATTCCTTTGGCTTTCTTCAAGAAGGCACTCACTTTGGAGGTTGTGGCAGTATTAAAGCCTCCCTCAATATCAACTGTTTCTTTAGACTCAGTAGGTTTCAGTTTAACAGAAAAGCTCATATCAAAAGACTCTGTTTTTCCACTGAACATTTCTCTCATTGTTGATACTTGGTCACTGTAGAATTCACTTGTAAAGCGTTTGTCTCCTCTTGTCTTGAAAGGCAGAAAATATACAGTTAAATGGCTAACAGATAGGTAATGATAGACAACATAGGCTGTGATGACATACTGTGGTAACACATGGTGTGTGCTTAGTTCAGATAAGACACTAAGCCATAAATCATAAACCAGATTTTGATTTCTCACCACTGGCAAATCCCATCCAGGGTGGGGGATGATTCTCTCTTTTTAAACCACTTCTGTTAGTGTAAGTTTTTAAACCACTCCTTCTTAGTGTAAGTGATCAACTAATCCTGTATCTTCTGGGGAAATTAAGGATTCCTCTGACACAGACCATCGGGGGGGGGGGGGGGGGAGGGGTTATGTCCAGTGGTGGATCTATAGCCAGTGAACTTTTAGCAGAGATACCAGGAGCTGTTGGGACGGATATACCTCCTTCTCCATTCCTTTTTGATGAGCACTTTCAGATCATCCTACGCTGCCATCCCAATTCCCAAGTGAGGGGAGCTTCAGATTGCCCTGTGTAGCTTGAACTGTATGGCTGTGAATTTCAAAATCATCTGAACTTGTGAGGGTTGAAAAGTGTGTGGTGAACTGGGCTATCCACACAGTCTCACGAAGAGATGTTCAGGCCAATGTGAGGATACTTTTCCTTCAGACGTCTGACTGAACAGTAAGAAATAAAAGATGGGAAAGGAATGGTTGTCCCTCATGTATGCAGGTGAATGTTTGAAGAGGGATAAAAGAACACATTTTTTGTTAAAGAACTAAACCGCTTACTTATATTATTATATATAAATTAAAACACATATACACAGAATGCCAAATGTATCCTTCCATCATAGAAGGTGTTTTTTAATCTATATCATGTTAATAGCACTTAAAATATTTATAGCTCATGCCCTTCAGCCATATGGGGGTTACAGCTGGTGGGAAACTCTGAGTGTTGCAGTCCCAATGCATATGGCAGACACTATGATGGAAACACTGAATTAGCCAACATGGATAGGGAGACCTTGCTATTGATTTGACTCCCCCCCCCCGAAACTAGACAGCCCTGTGTTTTGTTTTTGTCTGTCTGTTTTGCTGCAACAAAGGCACCTGATTGATCTAATCTCAAAAGCTAAGCAGGGTCAGAACTGAGTACTATCTGGATGGGAGACCAACAATTCCAGGGATGTAGACTAGACAAAGTAGTAAAAAAAAATAAAAAATCCTGAAAGAAGGCAATGGCAAAACATTTAAGTATTGTTGCCAAGAAAATTACACGGACATACCCATGAAATTTTAGGCGTTGAGGATGATTCAAAGCGGACTTTACCTTTTGTTATAAAACAAAGCTCTGCTTTACACAAAGAAGCTTACGTCATAACTGAGGAAAGCAACATTCCATGGCTTGCGATAATAAGTGGCTGTGTTCCCATCGCGGACCCTATCACAGATGCCATTGAAGTACTCGTTGTAAAATGCAGTTTGAGCCGGTTTCATTCCCAGCACGTTCAGACTGAAGGAAGGAAGGAAGGAAGGAAGGAAGGAAGGAAGGAAGGAAGGAAGGAAGATTATTAATAAATAACCATCTCATTGTACTTTTAAATGTCATATGTTATCAGAAATAACAAGCAGGAACACCAAAGACAAATCAGTAATATACATAAAAATAACAAAAAGTATTATGACACCTTAAATATTAACATATTTATTGTCTGGTAGTCTTTATTTAGCAATCATTTAATTGAATTTTGAGGCTGCCTGTCTCCTTAATGACTCTGGGTGGCTTAAAAAAAATAACAAAGAAAACATAAAAGAATCATAGTTGGCCAGTAAAGACCAGCAAAAAGCCAAAATTACGAGGACTCCACAGTCACCCTTTCCCATGGCCTGGGAGAACAACCAAGTTTTTAATAATTTTCTGAGTATCATTACAGTGGGAGCTGTATAAATGTCTGGGGGGGATGTCATTCCAGAGGGCAGGTGCCACAACAGGGAAGGTATGCTTCCTGGAACCCATAAGATCACACTGTTTCAAGGAACACAATCTACATTATCAGATACACGTGGATTTACGTGCTTATACCCATATACATCCATTAACAGGGTACACTGGATTCATCTGAAGCCCCTTTCTAAAGCAGAGCACGCTAATTTGGAACAGGTTTTCATTTAGCTAGAAATGGGTGAATCTGGTCCACTTTGTATTTAGACATCTGCGAAGAACCAGGCTTGATTTATTTGTTCTGAGCTGGCATGCTGCTGCCATGGCAGCAATACAAAACAGAAGGGAAAAAACCTAGCTTTGCTAATATCCATAAAATGCCAAGGTTAGGAGATAGACAATTTTATTCAGTGATTGGCAGGTCTGTTCCTCCCATTGTAGAAGCAGGTAAAAATAATGAAGAACTCACATCTTTGTGATGTCCAGACATGGGATCAGAAAGCAGAATGGTAATTCCTTAGCAACAAGGGATCAATAAAAGGCCTGTGGCACTACACACCAGCTGATCTTTATTATATGTTCAATTTTTTAAAAAAATTGTTCACATCATGGAAATGTGTTATTCATGACGTGAAAAATTAGTGATGCTGATCTTAGCTCCTTTCTACCATGGAAGCGTTTCTGCTCTGCAGGAGATACATGACAGTCCAGAGCAAAATCAAGGAACATGCAGGATGCAAAGGTTGTCAGTGTGACCCAGTACTTCCCATAATATAAATGCTATATTTGTTCTTTTAGGAATGTCCAAAGAGGGGGGAAAGTGGGGAGGGCTTGTCAGTTCAATATAACACATTTTAAAATGTGGATAAAATATTGTTAGACAAGGCCCACACATCAGAGACTTAAACCTTATTAAAACTTTTTGGACTGGTGGTCATGTTTGGAATTTTGAGAATATTTATTTATTTGTATTATGCACCACCTGATTCCAAATTGACTCTGGGAAACTCACAGCATAAAAACAGATAAAAATACAAAATTTGTATAGAAAACAGTAAAAAACATAGCAGTAGATGGAGCATCTACTGTCACACAATATTTTAACATTAGTGGTATTGTAAGCCACTCTGGAAAAGTTCAGGTGGCATTTAAAAAAAAAAAATCAAATATGTTTTAAGGGGTGTGTGTGTCTGTATTTTAATAAAAATCAGATAGGACTGGGAGCATGGTGGAATCAAGCAAGGTCTGGAGAACCTTCACATTCTTAGAAGCCATTTTGAGGACTCCAGCCTTATCAGGTAGCCCAACATGCAATTTGTATTCTTTTCATGAAAGTTTTCTAGAACTCACCCTTGGCCAGCTGTTCTTCCAAGTTCTGATACCTCAATGTCACGGTCCCCACAGGGTGGGCGTTTGGTCTCCTCACAACCATCTTCATCAGAGAAGTCACCACAGTCATTTTCTGTGTTACACACCAACCTATCCTTTAGACAATATCCTTAGAGTAGAACAAAGAATGAAACATTTATAATTGCAAGTAATTGGATATGTAGAATACCTTTTTTAAATCAAGGCTGCCTTCCCTGATTTGATGCCCTTTGGATGTTTTGGACTTCAACTCCCCAAATTCCCAGCCTAAATAAAACAAACTGACATTTATATCAGAATGACTAATTGATTTACAGTGTTAATTTCCCATGGGGAAAATTTGAATGATATAATATCCTTTTGTATATCACCACCCTGTTAAAAAAAATACTGAGTTTTTTTGGTTTGCATTTCAGTGCAAATTTAACTTAACCTTTTCTTCCTGAACCTATATGTAATATGAAATATTAAAAAAAAAAGTTTTCATTTGGTGAAATACAACAGTCATGATCATATAGTAGTACAGTGAAAAAAATACATGATGGTGATTAAATATACTAAAACTGAACAAGACCTTCCATTTTTGTTTTTGTTTTGGTGGGAAACATCATCATACTTTGATATTTAACATTTCTCTGAATACTGCAGTGTGGTTCTCCCATCAAAATATGGCTTACAAAAATGCACGTATAAAGAAAACATTCTTGCAAAAACAATATTAGCAAAGAGAATGTTCAATATCACACTGTACTATAGAAGTTTGCTGAGAAAAAGATACGCGATGGGAGAAAGCTGCTTTTCTTGTAGCTTAAAAAGCAAACAAGAGCACATCAGCCCGTGTGCCATTTTCTCCATCTGGAGGGTGATCCCGGAGGCACTCCTTGCAATAGAAGCCCACTTGTTTTAAATCATAGGCACGTGGCTGGAGCCTCTGAATCATCATCTCGTCATCAGTCCACTGCACGTACCACTTTTGCCTGATAGTGACAGCAGACAGAGAAACCATGTAAAAATCTCAGTACCTACCATTTGCACATTCAAACTCTCTCTGCGCACATTGATTTCCCTCTTCAGGACAATCACTTTCTGGTTCACAGTGCTCTCTATCACTCAGAGCTGCAGTGCATGGTTTCCCCCCGAACTGTCCAAACTTCAGGACATCTCTTGAGCGGTACTTTGTGGGAGGCATTAAAAACAAAATTAAAACAAGCTCAAAATCAGTCTGCTGTAGAGGGGAAGAACAGCGGGGGGAAATGATATGCAAGGTGAAAGAAATGAAAAGTTGTTGCATTGCTCCAAAATGGAAAGGATGGGGAATTCATGGTTCTCAGCTATTCAGGAGGGCAGACGATCTCTCTACCACTGGATGATCATCTGCAACAGTGTTTCTCAACCTCAGCAACTTTCAGATGAACAGACTGGGGAATTCTGGGAGTCGAAGTTCACACATCTTAAAGTTGCTAGACGTCATGAAATGTATCTAAAAAGAGGAGGGTGATGTGGGGGATAGCAACAGAGAGCAGGAAGGGAAAGGAGACAGAAGACAATCCATTCCACAGGGGGAGCATGGGAAGCAAAAACGGTTCAGGAAGGCCACTCCCTCGAATCTCCCAGGGTATATCCACTAGTTGCAGTAGTACAGATTTAGTCTGGCAAGATTCTGTCTATGTGGTATAAGCAAATAAGGGAACTTGACTCAACTGGACTGTTCCAATGTTGTTTCTTGGACTTGGCTTGACACTGAGGTTGAGAAACACTGACCTACAGCTACTGAGGCTGTTGTAGCTGGGGACACTTGCATTGTGCAAAGGACTGAAATGTGCGACTTCTTACAATCCATTCAAATTTAACATTCTATAATTAGTGGACAACCAGTGATTCCAAACAAGAAACCTTTTTTCTTTTCTTTTACTACTTGAAGCTAATGCCCACCAATGAGCCTATACTTCACAAATATATCAAATCTTCAGGAAGCCCCTTAAGGCAAATGAAAGATAAATTACGGACACACTACTTACTCTTTCATTTGAGCATGGACTACATGGTCCCCAATCACTCCAGGTAGTCAGCAAACAGTCAATGGGCTCTGGGGCATTAGATTCTCGTGTCACCCTTAGAATGAAATAGTCTTAAAGTAAATTGAAATGTTTCTGGTTTAACACTTTGTAAGTTCCTGTTTGTATGAACAATGTTTGTATGTACATATTGCAAGGGAGCAATATATGAACAATATGACCTTGTTTGCCTGGCCATTTAGTAGTGATGCACGCCATCTTATTGTAGTCCCTCAAAACGTAACCTTGCAGGACAATACTTGGACTGGACTTTAGCATTTCAAGATGCACGTGGAAGCTGCATGTTGGAACATGTGCCTGAAAATTCCATGACCATCAGAAAAAGGGGGTGAATCCTGCAAGTGATTTGCAGTTTCTACATGCAAGCTTCTTTGCTTGTTTTAAAAACAGAATTCAAGCAAGATGCTACCTGATATTATATAGTACAAAGCAGCTTTATTACATGATTTGATGGGTTTGTACATTCACATTTTTAACAGAATTCTCAGGAACTTTCTCTGTACTACTGAGTAAGAAAAATCAGTAATGACCCTAGATCAGAGGTGTACATATATGTGTTTGTGTGTAGTTGATAAATAGTTGTCTTTGTCTTTTATTTCCTATCTGCAGACTATGGAAGGAGGCAATGTTTGGCTCACTCTTCCTCCATGCTGTTCCTATATTGGCTAGCTATCCTTTGAAACCCCTTCATGGATCACTGCCTTGTCGTGGCAAAGGGGCTTGCATAACTCAGTGAAGCCATGAGCTATACCGTGCAGGGCCACCC